CGGCGGAAGGGCGCAAAGACTCACCTGCTGCGACGGCACGCTGTGAAAAGTGTTTGTCCATCCACTCCAGGCAAAAGCTTCGTACACCTAGTCAATTGCAATAGGATGCTTCAGCACCCCCAATATGCACCTCCCACCCCGTTGGCGGCTCCTCTTCCGAGACGGCACCCCAATATGCACCTCCCGTTGTCCAATGAACAGCACCACATTGGCACTCAGCAGCCGAAGCTCCTCACCGGGAGCGAAAACGACTCAAATGGGATGGGAACTTCTGTGTCCCAAGGACTTGAGGACTGCAAAATGGAGGTCTTGCTGCATGTGGCACTAGGTCCTACTAGGTGCAAGACCGTCCCAACATCCTTCCAACCCCAGACCGACTGGGCATGCCTGGCTTCCGTCCAGCTCCTCAGGGATTCCATTTGCTCGACGTCCGCAGTTCGCGGATCGGAGGACGGTTTAAACCGTTTGGCGGTGTTTGCATCCGGGAGAAACATGGAGTTGGGCCTTTCTTTTGGGATTTTCTCTTGATCCGGATTGTTCCTTCCTTGGAATGATGCATGTGTTTCTTAGGTGCAAGATGACGAAGCCCACGAGCTAATTGCTCAAAACACCACCCAAAACATATCTGGACAATCCCGCTCTGCAGCACAGAATCTCATATGCTGCTGCACCTGGTCACCACATTCTGTCTTCTCTAGGGTCCAATGACAAGAACAAACACCCAACATCCACCCACGACCTGCAGCCGACACTATGACACTTGATGGCAAGTATTAAAGGCGTCTGGAGCCAGTTTGGGCGTATCAGCAGCATGTCTTGACTCGACAATGGCCGGCAGCCAGCAATGCAGCAGGCACTTGCTGTCGAGAGCACATAAAAAAGTAAAATAAGAATAATTAACATGGATCCAAGATGATGCAAAGGTACTTGTCCTCGTGGACAACCATATTATATGCAAAAGAGCTACTGTAACTGCATGCTCTGCCCAGCACATGAAGCCCTCCGAACGGAAGCAAGAAGAACTGCGGAGCGTCCCCCGCACCACAACAGCGCTTTCACCACCGAAACAGGTCGTAACGGGTAGTACCACGGACGTACCACGAACCTTCCAAGGTGTTTGACTCTTCAGGTGCTTTTGCAGGATATAAACATGCTCCCCAAGGAGAAAACCACAGCCCAAGCATCGCAAAGGAGATTCGGGGTGGGTTTGTAGAACTGATGGCCTCATTGTATAGAACCACTTGAAGTGACTACCTCGATAGCTCGAAATCAAACTACTTTGGTTCGGTGTTTTCTATCACGGGGCACGGGGCACGAGTTCTTTTTCTGTAATTTAACTTTATTGGTTTATCTATGATTACTAATTGCATCTATTACTAAGTACCAAAAAACATTGCCAGCTTTGTCTCGCCAACGATGTCCGGATCGAAATGTGTTCGTCGCACGGTCGGGGCGTTTGAATCAGAGTGTTGAGACCGTCTCTCCTCCAATGGCATGATATCGACACCCAGCACCGAGGGTTTTGGTGTCTCCTGCACCATTCGGAAACGGTGCGTTCAAAACAAGAGGTCAAGCAATCTCCAAAAAAGGCAATGCTTTCTTAATCGACTGTCAATTCTTCTGACGAACTGCTTCTTGATTTCTTGCATGTTTTGCTGTGGCTGACATGCCAGGTTGGGCTGTGAAGTAGCAACAGGGTTTACAGAGCAGGCAAAGAAAAGGTGCAGGGTTGCGGGCCCGAGAGCAGAGCCATGGTGCGAAGATCAACATGCCCGAAGCATGTGCGTTCGCTGCTGGTTCCGCAGTGGGAAACGGAACTCGATCTTGCACAGGGATTTATGAAGACTCTCAGGGAGACATTGCATCAATCACAAAAACATGTGTCTTCGATACTTATACAGATCGACTAACTTGCTTCCTTCAAAGAGTCCAGTTCTCTCCTACGGCCATACATGGGCCGCTTCCCACCCAAGCCGAAGCAGTTTCGAGCCGAGGCATCCGTCGGACTTGTCCTCGCACAAGGACCATCTCCAGAAGCTCGTCGCTGAGACCGCACCCAAGAGGCCTCGACCAAGATGTTTGGGAGCGGCGAATCGAAGCAGGAACATGTCCCTCATCTTGAACGCAAATGATTATTCTATGTTGTATTGTGTAGTGAGATCAGATTTTGAGATTTGTCCGATGTGTCCTTTTCATGCGGCAAGGTCAGAGATCGAGCTGTATTGGCTTTGCCTTCGGGCGAGATTGCCATGTGTTGGAGGGTCTCCTGCAGAGGCATCCACGGCGAGGCAGGAATACCTATACCTTTGCTCTGTGACAACAGGATATGACATGAATCGTCAAGTTAACGTTAGTTGCTTATTGCCTACTCATTCGCACCCAACACCAACTGTGCCATACCACTTGGAATGCACTTACATTTGACGAACCTGTGGAATAGAATAGAAAGATGCAAACACGATGAAGACCGACACCGTGGTGAATAGTTGCTTCACATCAAAGCATTGCAGGCACTCACGATCTGCTGATTGAGTTACACCAGGTTGTGTCTACCCGTCTACCCTCCCATCAGCAACTTGGATTGACCTACATCCCCACGAGCCTTCGGATCCGACACTTTCGCCTCTCAGGGGAAGCCACAGTTGGGGTGTTTCTTGGCCAAGCAGGCTAAGCAGGACTTGTCAAGTAGTAGCCTCAAAGAATGTCCCAAACAAATATTCAGAGAGTCACAGAGACGAACGAAGCAGTTAGAGCAGTTGAACGCACATGGTTGGCATTGAACATCATTCACAGTATACTGGCATCTCCTTTCCGTGCCCTTCTTTCCACACCATTTGTCCTTTCTCTGCACAGCTGTAGTCAGTCGTTTCCCATCTGGAAGCAACTAGTGGTCCAAAACCCATGTCTTCGATCGTTGGTCAAAACCCGGCTCGGCGGATCCCTCGGACAGCGAACAAATGCCGATGGATCCGACACCAAAAATACTGTACAGGGCCAGCAAGGGTCGTGGGTAAACTCCATCCGCCCTCATCGGGAGACTGTACACAAAGTATCACAAAGTGCTGTCAAATTGAGTCAAGAACTCCACAAAAGCTGGCAAAAGGTCAGTAGCATACTGAGACAGAGTCAGAATGAGCCAGACCAAGACCATGCACTCAGTCTAGGGTCTAGGATTAAAACTCAACGACAATCTTTCGCGTAGATTCAAAGATGGCTCAACGCTTCTCAGGCGGCTGAGGAGGTTGCTCAGTCTGCTCTTGGCCAGTCCTTGGCACAACAGACTTAAGAGCTCTCAAAGCTGCTGCTTCATCTTCAACACTGAAGCCCTTCCGAAAGGTCTCGTCTCGGACCGTGATGACCACACCCAAGCGGCGGCGCCGTGCTCCCAGACCGGGATCGCGTGACCAGTCCAAAGCCCACCAAACGTTGTTCAGCGTCATTCCCCACACTTTCTGGCCCAGCTCTCTGTCTGTGGCGAAACTCACACCAGAGCCAGGGCCAATTGTGATCCTCTTTTCCTGGCCAAAGGGAAAATAATATCGCTTGATGTTCAGGTGATCCTGGCAAATATCCACAAACTGATCCTGATACAGCGGCGCCGGTGCCACGTCGGCCTTTTCCATGAAACTCTATGTCAGAGGGACAAATGCTCACTGTCTGCCTTGATGTCAAATTCTTGAGCCAAATCACGTGTATCTAATTGTCTTAAGCATGTCTTAACTACTAGCATGTTGTGGACGGCATAAATGAAAACATATCACACTTCCCTCACACAAGAGGCTTTGAACACCTGGGATGAATACTGACACGTGGTCACTAGGGTTCCAGATGGGTCTAGGCTTCGATGAGTCGCCACGGCTTTCGCGCTACAGTTTGCATGGCGGTGTCGTCAGCACGAGATGCATCACGCACCTCAAGTCCGCACGTTGCTTAGCAACGGAAAGGCCAACACGACGAAAGCCCACAAAGGCAGACTGGCCTCTTTCGCCCCGAAACGCTGACCGGCCTCTCCACAGGAAGCTTCCACCATTTGGGGTGTGATCGTGATTCCAGTCTTGTAGTCCTCTCGTCGGCGCTTGGCTGGCAACTCGACCGTGGGGCAACGAGCCGGAAAAAATGGGGTGCCTCATGAGGCCGGTCTTGCCACTCATCAAGGCCCAGCAGAAAAGACAGAGTGAGCAGAATGAGTCATAGTTCAAGACCAGTCCGATGCTAAGTCCAGCTTCGCACAGCTCCGGCAAATTTGGTTGCAACGAGGATAGGGAACAACAAAAAGATTCAGGCCATTCTCAAAGCACGGGCCCAGCAAACCTTCCCATGCTCACTTTGCGAGGATCCCTGGAAAAAAAAATACAAATGGCTCTTGCGCTCAAAATGTTGAAACATGACCTGTCAAGTTCCGATTCAGGCATATTCCTGTCCGATGCTTGACCACCGCGACTAAAAGATCTAAAAGGGAAGTTGTTCATCACTCAAGATACAGTGTCTCAAGATGCAGGTGACACACAAGAAATGCATCACGGTAGAAAATCACCACACTATTCTGTCATAAGTTGGGAACATACCTGACCACGTTGCGAAATGATTTTGAGACCACCCCAAGGATCTGATGCCGTTGGATTCCAAGCGCAATTGGGCTCCGACATGCTGATTCAAGCAAAAAACGTTGGTTGGACTGCTCTCTAAGACCCATCTCAGACTTGTTCCTCTCAGCTTGACCTCCTCATCAGGTCCACGTCCCTTTGCGGAACGCCTGACCAACTTGAGGCGCTGTCATGGCGAAGTGGAGCAGCTGCAGGTTCCAAAGCCTGAAAAAGGGTGAGTGCATGGAGTGCATTGGAGGGTAGGAGAAGACATGGAGAAAAGCCACGGCATTTCTGCCCTTTCCCATCATCAAGTCTACCAGTGTGCTTTTGCATCCGTCCATCTGGCCATTACTTGGAGCTACCTTTTGGGGGGCCAATCCAGCTCGTCTCCCCCCAGGGCCAACGGGTCGTTTTCCGGTCTTCACAGCGGAACTCACTGGTTGGTGTCTTACCAACCCTGCAAGCGCGGCTACCGGTTGCTCCCTGTGTCCGAGTGCATCTCAGGTCAGAAGCATGGCTCTTTGGTCCGCCTCCACATCTGAGCTGCGGGGGAACTGTCCTCAGACGAAGATGCATTTTTGAGCGAGGCTTGCATCGGAGGTCCTGCCTGCCATCGGAAACATCCCCGCTGGTGGATGGAATGAAACGGAAGGATGGGATGCCTACATGGAGGGGAAATGCACACCAGGAGTGCCGTGGTTGAGCACATAGTATGGATTGCACGTTCTCCAGTCTCTCCACCCTTTTAATTATTTCCCCACATCTCTGTGTGGGGTTCTAGTTTTTTGGCTGGCATCCCGCCCGCATCCGCCGGTCCTTCCGTCCTCCTCGCCCCCTCCTCCGTCCACTCACTCACTCACTCACTCACTCCCTCGCTCGCTCACTCACTCACTCACTCAGTGACTCACTCACTCACTCACTCGCTCACTCACTCACTCACTCAGTCACTCACTCAGTCACTCACTCACTCGCTCACTCACTCACTCACTCACTCAATCACTCACTCACTCACTCACTCACACTCCCACGTCTGCAGAGACTTCGTCACTCACTCACTCACTCATTCACACCACTCACTCCATCACTGACGAGACTGCAGAAGGGCCTGCAGTGTCCAGAGACTGCAGAAGGGCCTGCGGCGCGCGTGGTCGCCG